TGCCAGTCCTGCTGCCCTTAGACATCTACCTGATGTTATAAATAAAATGAGAACGGAAACCAAACTGCTCAGTCCATCCTCTGTGCTGTAAAAGGCAAAAAACAAAAAACAAAAATCACTTGGCTTTGCAATGAAGCTTAGTTGCAGTTCTATATCGGCCATTCAGAGAATTTCACACCCAGGTACCGTTTGTTTTTTTTGCTCTAATGTTCAGCTGAGCAGGTATCAAAAAAAAGGGGGATCATTTCATTCAAGCAGAAGACTTGAGGGTCTACCTCAACTCGTGGCCCCTCCTACACAGGTGGGTGGAGGCTGTGACCAAGAGATCTTTGCTATGTTTACCTGCCACTTTCCTTGCAGCTCTTATCACAAAATTGGACTACTGCAATACGCTCTACAGTCTGTTTTTGAAAATGATCTGAAAGCTGCAGTTGGCCCAAAATGCAAGGGCTCGCTTGCTGGTAGGATGGGCCTGCAACAGTTGCATATAGGTGAGGGAAGTCACCCCCTCCTAGAAGAATGAAATAGTTTGAGAAATATTAAAAAGGCAGAATATTGTATTTCCCTAAAGGAGAAACATGATGTTGGAAAGTAGCCCCCACCTTTCTTAATAGCCCCAGCAGGACTGGGCCAGTCTAACTACAAGATAAAAGACCTTCAGCTCCAAGGTGATGGGATTAAGACATGATCATCCAGGACATAATAGGATTAACCCATCTAGCAGCAAAGCTCACCACGTGGCACAATCTGAGGACACTGCATCACCCAGCAAACTTCAACCAAACCTGGGAGCTCAGAGAACCTCAGCTATGGGCCCTGCATAGCCCCATGGGAGTCTGACAGCAACACATAGAATACATGGTCTTGCACAGGAACAGGACGCTCAAGTTCAAAGCCCAAGAGAAGGTATAAACGCCCCTCATTCTCAACTCCATGTGGTCAGCTATCCAGAACCATGTGATTGGTGGTTCTGCTTCATCGATAAGCCATCTTTCCAATCAGGCTCCATGTTTCCAGTGACTTTCTTCCAACTTGGAACTGAACCAGGTGGATATTTCTTCCCACAATTCCAAGTGCAAATCAATGTGCTGGTTTTAATCCATTAAGCTCTATAGGATCTGACTCCTAATTTCTTCAGGAACACTTTGTCCTCATAGAATAGTCCTGTCTGACGTGTGCTCTCCCACACAATCTATTAATGGTCCCCATTAGCAAAAGGCTAAGAGAAGAGAGCCTTGCAGACAAGGTTCCCACCCCGCCCAGATTGGATTAGCTTTCTTGTGGAAGGTTGCAAAAACTGAGACCTTTTCAGAAGCATTTGAATGCTTAAGATAATGCTCCGCCTGGATTATCATATTATTATTGTTGTCTTGGTCTTAATACAGAAATAAAATATTTACTGGCTAATGAGGCTAAAAGTAGGCTAGTGGACATTTGAAAGTCTTAATTCCTATCATAGGCAATCTCACAAACAGTCCAAGTACTTGTTGACAACATTGGTTCCAAGTACTTGTTGACAATGCCAGCTATAATTAACTATGATTATTCAGTTCCTAAGCAACAAGTAAAGGACAAAGAGCAATAAGGCCAAGATTAAGAGAGAATTTGCTCAATTATATCATACTGCAAAGTACATAACTTATTACAGATTATCACTTGGCTTTGTAAAGACTTTACAGTCTGGTAGGTATATTTCCACTCCATGTTATTCAAAAGGCCATCTTAAACCCTAATCAATTTACACTACAAGGGAAACAGTTTTCAGGCCTCAAATGGGCTAAGCAGGATTCCAGATTAAGCACGGACAAAATAAATGGATTATATTATATAGAATGCCAAAAGATAATAGCATTAGCATCATCTGTACCTTTAGCACTCCTCTTTAATGCAGTCTCTAATTTACACGGAAAAACTAAATCCAGCCAAAATCAATTGATTAGCTTTTTAATTCTGTGAAGAGCTTTGGCTGAGCAGCTAAATTTCATTTCTAGCCTAAGCAACACAAGTTCAACTCATTTAGGTTTAATTCAAACCATAATTCAACTCTGGCTATTAGGATACTTGCTCTCTTTCAGGCATGTTTCTTATACAAGAAAAAAAATCACCAGGTCTTTTTCAACTGAACAAGGAGGAGGAGGAGGAGGAGGAGGAAAGACAACATATTTTACAGTTAACTACAATATGAAAATGAAACGAAAATAAAAATTAAGGGGTTTTAATTGCTCTTCCATTACTTATGATTCTGTATTTTTCTGGTTCCATAGCAAATCTGGGTAGCATCTTTTTTGAGTGTATTAACATTTTATTAAAAGACATGGCTGCCTTTTTGTCTGTTGAAGCTCACAAAAGTTGATGTATTTTAATACAATTTGTTAATCAGAGAAGCTGCTTATAGAGTTCTGATTTTTTTGGTCTGAATTATCCCAATTCTCCTCCTGCAACAGTTAATTAAAGGCACTTCAAACTAAAAACACTAAATTCTTTTTATGCTCTTAGAAAAAATAAACAGGGGAAAAATCAGAGCAAATACCCAGACTCCCTGTGACTTTTTTTAAAAATCTCCAAATAAGAGCATTTTGTCAATATGACTATCCTATCCATGATTTACATCAAAATACATTGTAAGACAGAAACATTATCTTCACTGATAATTCCATTTTCCCCTACAGAAATGTGGAACATATCTGTTGCATGTTTCATTCATCTTAAATGATGCGTGTCTTCTTGTTCTCCTAATTATTTTTATAGTATTCAATGCAAAATACCACAATTTACTAGAAGGCAACCAAATCCACGGGCTGCATCCACCCAAACTCTAATTTTCTAAAAACATCCCTGGTGATTATATGGTGCCCTGACTCCATGTTGGAAATACAGACTGTACATTATGCTGGGCATTAGCTTTGCAATCCTTAAAAATAAAGAGATTCAGAAACAAGTATAGTCCTTTATTTTTCCACCAAAAGTAATCCAAAACAGGAAAATATGAACAAAAATACCACAGCATCCAAAGATTAGTAATACTTACTGTGTTTCTCATAAAATAAGGCCGGGTCTTATTTTTTTTTGAGCCCCGAAAAAAATGGCTAGGACATCTTTTCGGGGGTGACTTAATTTCCTCCCCCGCACCCACCCCAACCTAGAGTGCCCCATGTGCAGTCACCTCTCCACAAGACCACTTCTATCGGCTGATGGACGCTCTCCGAAGGCAGAGTCACCAGCCGCATCTATCAGCTGGTAGAAGCGGCCTCGTGGAGTTGAGTGCGCATGGGCCGCTCTAGGTAGGGGTGCGCGTGGGGGAGGAAATCTATCGGCCAGTAGAAGCAGCTTCAGGGTGAGCGCCCACACGCACTTCCCTCACCACGAAGCCGTTTCTATCGGCCAATGGAAGCTCCCCAAAGGCAGAGTCACCAGCTGCTTCTATCGGCTGGCAGAAGCGGGTTTGTGGCGAAGGGAGCGTGCGTGGGGCACTCGCCCTGAGGCCGCTTCTACCGGCCAATAGAAGCGGCTGGTGTCTCTGCCTTCGGGGAGCTTCCATCAGCCAATAGAAACGGATTTGTGGCGAGGGAAGTACGCATGGGCGTTCGCCCCGAGGCCGCTTCTACTGGCCGATAGAAGCGGCTGCTGACTCTGCCTTTGGGGAGCTTCCATCGGCTGATAGAAATGGTTTCGTGGTGAGGGGAGTGCACATGGGCGCTCGCCCCCAGGCCGCTTCTACCGGCCAATAGAAGCGGCTGGTGACTCTGCCTTCGGGGAGCTTCTATTGGCCGATGTTCTATCAGTAGAAGACTGGGGTATACTACGTGCAGGGCGTTCCTAAAGGCAAGTTTCCCCCCCCCCCCCGATTTCTCTTCACCTTGTGTAGTTTTAACGAACAATGTGAGAAATGCCGGGGAAACGAATGGATTAAATAGGCCTAAATTTTGGGGGCAGGGCTTAATTTCAGCTCATTCCTAGAAATCATGCTGGGCCTTCCTATTGGTGGAGGCCGTATTGTTGGAGAAACAGGGTAGTTACTAATTATGATAAACTTATTTTCTAATTTGCTAACACAAACACACTATCATATTGTATTCCCATTTTACAAAATCAGGCTTTGGGGGCATCTATTTTTAACATCTGTCTGCCAACCACAATTTCCCTTGATCACTATAAGGTCATGTTGTCTAATACTTGCTTGACAAATACATAACATAAAAATAAAAACATGGTCAGGGGCAAGCTTCTGCTTCGGTCTCATCTGCCAGCTTCCTTGAACAACTAAAGGAAGCAAATCTGGAGCAACTTTGAAAAGGTGCCCATTTTTGCCGTTTTCCATAACATCCTCCGCATCCGTCAGAGCCAGGAGTGTGAAAGAAGGGCCGGAGCAAAAAGTTAAGGTCATCTTTCAACTTGTTTTCTCGGGACTTAAGATGAGGGAGGAGGCTGCGATCTCCGAGGGTGGATTTGCGATATAAAACAAAAACAAAAACCCAGCCGACAGAGAAGCCGGTTTTAAGGGACCGATTCTCGACGGCCGGACGAGTGAGAGGTCGCATATAAAACAGAAGAATAACCAGAGTTGGAAGGGACCTTGGAGGTCTTCTAGTCCAACCCCTGCTCGAACAGGAGATGCCATTTCAGACAAATCGCCTGTCCAATCTCTTCTAAAGGGCAAGGAAGCGAAACTCGTCTCGCCAGCCCGAGGCCGCTTCTTCCCAGAGCTTGCCACTTCATTGCCAAGAGCCAACTTGGCTCGGCGTCTTACAACCGCCCACTTGGCAGGAGGGCGGCGGCGGCGGCGGAGACGACGACGGCAGCAGCCCGGTTTTCCCACCCTAGCGCGGGGCAGCTTTGCAGAAGGAGCAAGCTCAGCTCCAGCCTCAGGAGGAGGAGGAGGAGGAGCGGGGGAATCAGGCAAGGCCGATCCACCCGCCCTAACGGTATCCTCCTCTCCCCAGCCCGAGTTCCGCCGGCCGCGCTAAGCTGAGGAGCAAAGGCGGGCGGCCGCGTTAAGAGAACCGCGGCTTGGCCTCCGCCGCCGCCGCTGCTGAGCGTGCGCAAGTCCTTCTCGCGCATGCTCCCTGCGCGCGGACCTGCAAATTCTGAAGGATAACAGATTCTGAAACATCCGACGGGCGGACTTACCCGGCCGCCCTGTGGCGACGGCAACGCTCGCCCAGCCCCGGACTGAGCGCGCCCCCCTCCCCGCCACCGCCACCACAATCATGTCGCCTAAGCCAAGGACGCCGGGTCACTGAAGAGCCATGGGCGAGCGGTCCATTCCGGCTGGCCGGGGGACCCAGCTCATCTCCTTGCTGGTGCTGGAGCAGCGCGCCCAGGAGGTCACCTTAGACCGGGAGCTGGGGCTCTTGGCGTGGCGGAGCTTGGAGCCGCAGCCGCGCAGGGGGCGAGGTGAGTGGCCGCCGGTGACCTCTCCATGGCAACAAGGGGGAGCAAAGCCAGCCTGGTGGGGTCCGATCTGGAGACACGCACCCAGGTCCTTGGAAAGAGCGCTGCTGGGCGTGTGCAAAGTACTGACCAGTCACCTTAATTTTCAAGGTCCAGGAGATCCCAAAAGGGATCCTTTTAAAGAGACCTAAGGCAACATTTTTATGTCTTTTGAGGGATTAGAAGAAAACTGCAAGGACTACTTGTCCAGCAATTGGACAAGGAGTCAATACTGACATGAAGTCACAACTCCAGTAAAGACTAAAGCAGCTGAGTTTTGGAAGCAGATGTACTTTATGTACACTTTGTGTACTGGTTTCTTAATTTTAGGAAGTTGCCTGTTGGTATCTTAGTTAAAAAAAATATATGTGCCTTTGAAAAGTTATTGAAATCTTTAAGCCATTTGGGACGCTTCTGGCCCCTAAATGGAGGCCTTACTTCCTTTTCTTTCTTTCTTTCTTTCTTTCTGGGACCTAAAGGAATACCTCACACAGCTTTCGGTATTCGTTTTGTTATTTGTCAAATTATGATCCTGTTTTGTGAAAGGAAGGAAAATTAACTGTGACTCAGTTGGCCCAGTTCTGAAACATCTTTTACAAATGTAGCTTGCTGTTAAGAACCTCCTCATCTTCGGAAAGCTTTGGCATAACTTCCTGTCCCTTCCCCAGCCACCAATGTTTTAATTATTTTGAAATCAGTATGAGTAATGTAGGTAGCACACAATATTTGGCAGCTGTAAGCTTCCCTCCTTGGAGTGGCAACTGTAGGTATTTAAACAATTACTGTGAAAAGTTTTATAATGCTTTTATTAATCTTCCATAGTGTCAGATTCCTATCTGACATCTTAAAAGGACCAACAAATTGTGGATTGGTTTAGTGTTGCTTCTCTGTGTACTGTACATAAGCACATGAAACATTTGCTTTCTCTTCTGTTAAGAGCCAGTTGACACAATCTGTAAGAACCTTATACTAATAATCCCCAGTATATGTCAATGGAGCATATATATTTGAACCCTATTGGAAAAGCTGTCAGTAGTTTGTCTGATCTCAGTGTCAATAACAACTTTCTGCCATTCTATCATTGCATGTATGATATTCATGAGTTAGTTTCCTGAAGCCATCATAGACTTTTTAACAATAAGAGAAGCCACAACTTCTAGATTTGTTGCAACCACAACAAAAATGCAATTTGGGAAACTTTTGACACAATTAACTTCTCGGACAACAGGTGTATTGTGCGGTTATACTCTAACCTCTTATCTGAGATAAGTTCTACTAAATGTTGAGGTACAACATAATCTAAAAGGTCATGTTGTTATGTAAGACTCACCCATCACTTGTGGTGAATAATGAGACATGAAGTTAGCCAGCCTATCTGGTTATTCCAGAACATGCTTCTAGCCCAGCCTTTTTTGAGTGCTCATAGGTTTATCATTGTTCTTCACAATTTATTAATGATTTTTTGCTATCTGCAAGGTCTCTCAAGCAAAGGAATCTCCTCTTGTAGTCCATCTCTACTACATTCTCCACATATATTTGCTTTCCTCAACTTGGGCACCATCCACATGAATGGGTATCAATTTCCTAGCTAGCAGCTCCCTTGCTCTGTAGTCAGTAAGTTGAAATCCACATATCCAGAAGACCCAATCATCCAGTTGAGGAAGGATATCTTACTATCTTATCTGAACTACAGTCAGAGGAAGCTGCAAATTATAATTAAGCATGCTTTTAGAAAGACTTCCCCTATGTAAATCACCTCGCCTCAAACCACATTTTTCAGGGCTGGGGCAAAAAAAATCTAGATATGATTTACCGTTGGGAGTAATCCCACATCTTCTTCACACCTTTTTTTTCGGGGTGGGGAAGGTTGTCCATTGATTAAGGAAAGATGTCATAAGCTTTTAACTAACAATCCAAGGAGCTGTCCATTTGAAATAATCCTTTCAATATAGGCAGATAATTGCTAGCTTTCATTTCAGAATACTTCAGGATGTTTATTTCATCAGAAGTACTTGCTGCATAAAAACTAAAGCCACAATCTTTCCCAATTCTTTTTTTTTTTTTTTTTAACAAATTTTATTCAGTTTTTCACATAAAAACAAAAATCTCTTTTTAGTGGACAACATATTTCCGGGTCATCACCTTTACATACAAATATGACAGCAATTATACATTCATATATGCATACTTAATTCTATTATTACCTTTTCCATTCCAAATTTTCAGTAAGGAGAGAAACAAACACATTAATTCTGGCCTCTTTCATTAATCTCAGTCGAAACATCTTTTTGTTTCATTTCAATTATTTCAAATATAATCCTTTAATATTTATTTTAAAAATAAAGATAAACAATATGTGTTTGCCTAATAATTAATAATTAATAATAATAATAATAATAATAATAATAATAATAATAATAATAGGTTGCCAATGTCTCTCCTTGCTTTTAATAGTTTATATGACTTATTAATTTAGTTGGTTCTTTAGTCTGTCATATTCCCTGTCCATTACACATTCTTTTTATAAATTCTAAATTAATACAAATTTTAACACTAAAGAAAAAAAACAAGTATAGGTTTCCCCCCTTTTACTGCTTTGAGTGTGACACCTCAATGATTAAAATATACCTTTATTCCCTCATCTTGATTCCCAATAAACCATTATTTTTAAGAAGTTACAGTAATAATCATTACATCGTTTCATTTGGATTCCGCAGCATATTTTCCCCCTTTAATTTTTAATAAGAGTTATCAATATCTATATTACCCTATTTTCTTAATATTTTTAATTGCAGAAATATTCTTATTACCCCTGGTCACCCTGCAGAATCCCCTTTTTAATTCATCAACCATTATCTCTGAAAAAACAATTTCTTTTCAACATTTTACTATTTCTGTATTTCTTTATTTCATGACCTGTTTCTTACTACTTCTCCTCCCCCTCTTTTCCCCATATCTTTTCTCATTCCAGTTTATATTCCTTTCTTTCTTAATATCTTCCTTTCCCCTTTTCTGCTGGGTCTTTCTATCTTTCCCAACTTCACAGGTATTCCCCCTTTTGATTGCCTTCTTAAGTCTCAACTTTTTAGCCTTCCTTCTTTCCCCACTTCTTTGTAGCGTTCTTTGTGTTAATTGTCTATTTAAGATGTCTTCTTCTTGAGTCGACTCCTCCTTCTCTGAAGCTCTTTCTTCTTGTTCTTCAATCACCATTTCCATTTTTTCTAACACAGAACAAAGTGATTCGCCTTTTTCCTGTAGTAATTCTCTCATATTTTTAAGTTCCATTTTTAATTCCCGAAGAGATATCATCATTACACACTCTTGTATTTTATGATCGTTAAAGTCCACAAAAAAACCACTTTTACTTTCCTTCTTTCTTCTTTCAATTTTCTAAAGTTCTCAATTGTTCCAGCCCAGGGTCTATACCAAAAACATCAATCAATCCCACAGTCAGTCTTTCCTTGCTTTTTTCTTTATTCTAGTTCTGCTTTCACTTTCTAAGTTTCTTACTTTGTTTCAATATTTATTTAATAGTATATCCACACAAGTTCATTCAGAAACAGGATGCTTTCCCTTGTTTGAGCTCAAGTTTTTGTCAAAAGATGGCACTCTCCATTATACAAAGTCTTCACCTTTTCCCCCTATTTTTTTATTTAGGGTTTTTCGAACCTCAATATTCCAACACAGTCCAGTCTCCAATTTGTAAACTTTATTATTATTATTTTTTGACAATCTTAAGTCCAGCTTTATTTTATGCCTGTTTATTGCCAAAATATTTTAGCCCAATTTAGTTAAATCTTTAGTTCTGGTTTCTTCCTTTCCTGGTTCGAAGCCCTGCTTAGCTGTCAGAAATATTTTCTTATTTTTTTTCCTGTCGCTTTGTAATTTCGCTGCTCACTTTTCTTTTCTTAAAAATTCCATGTTACCTTAATCCCGGGGTACTTTTGTTTAGTTGCATCGCCCAATTGTCCCGGTTCAGATGTTATCCACCTCTTCCTTCCCTCCTGCACAAATCTTAATCCAGCTGAGTCCTCCTCTTCAGGGTGGCCATTTTAAACCACCGCTGCAGTCATCTTTGGGGGGGAAAAAGACCAAGCCCAGGAGGGGAGATGCGGCTCCCCTTACCCTGGCTTGCGGCTTCCCCTTACTCCGCCGCCCCTCCAAGGCAGCTTCAGCCCCTAATCGTAATGATTGGGGCTCTCCAACAAAAGAGCACGGACCATCGCTGCAGAGAGATGCGATCTAGGGTCTGTCAGCAAGGAAGCTCCGCCTTCTTCCCCCAATCTTTCCCAATTCTTGAGTCCACAGTATCTTCCTCCCTATGGCTGCTGCTTCTTTTACAATGATCTTTCTTCTCCCAATATATTTTAGTTTCCCTATGTTGGGAACCCTTTTTTTGCAGGTAATTAGCATTGTTCCTGGCTTTTTCAGATAAGCAAACATACTTTGCTTCAGTTGACCTTTGGAAATCAAATATAATTGTTTTATTTCCCATGTATATTATATCATAGGAACTTCACTACATTCTATTCCATTGAAGATCAATATAGCAAAGCATTTAAAAGGGTTATTTGCTGACTAGTGGTTAGCACTGTGATACAAGGAATTTCCAAGCACAATAATCTGAATGGTTAAAGGTCTCTCCCTCATCCTTAATTACTTTATAACTTAATTGGTAAAAGAAAACTCCTTAGATCAACATGAAAAAACTGCAACTTCTACTACACTTATTTCTGAATAAAAGAAAGTAGCAAATAAACAAATCATGCAAAGCTGCATATTGCTTTAAATGCTCTCCCTCAAGATTTATACTCTTTTAAAATGATTGAATTTACACAGTTAAAAACCACTAGATGAAATGAAACTGAAATTTTTGGAGATAAAGCAGAAATTTTATCAAAGAAAATATCAAAGTTAAAAAAAAAAACTTTAGTATTCTGCACATGGGAAACGAATCATCCCCC